CCTCCTTATGTGGCAATACAACTGTTCAAGTCTTTGTGATGGATGAGAATGACAATGCACCTGCTTTCACACAGTCATTCTACACGGTCTTTGTGAAGGAGAACAATCCCCCCGGTTCTCACATCTTCACAGTATCTGCCTTGGACCCAGACATAGCTGAGAATGGTCTGATCACCTATTGGATAGATGAGAAGCTCTGGCCATTGTCAAGCTACATCTCTGTACATTCAGAGAGTGGAAAACTTTATGCTTTGCAGTCCTTGGACTATGAGGAGTTGAAACTGCTGGAGTTCCAGGTGAGAGCCAAGGATGCTGGAATCCCCTCCTTATGTGGCAATGCAACTGTTCAAGTCTTTGTGATGGATGAGAATGACAATGCACCTGTTGTGTCAGGATCATCAGAAGAGAACCTGATTCTTTTAGTGGTCCCCGTGATCCCTGGGCATATTGTAGGCAAGATCCATGCCTTGGATGCAGATTCTGGATACAATGCATGGCTAAGATATGATCTAGTTGAAGAAAGTAATGGTCTGTGGACTGTGGGGCAGTATAGTGGTGAGGTGAGTACCAAATATTCTCTGGATGAATCAGAAAGCAGCAAAATCCAGAGTTTGTTGGTTCTTGTGAAGGACCATGGAAAACCTCAACTATCAGCCACAGCCACCTTGAGTGTTTCACTTGTGACAAGTGGTCAGACAATCAAAACGGATATTAACCTTCAAAGATCAGGGGAGAGCTTTGTGCCCCTGGTGGACTCGATCAACGTTTATCTGATCATTGCCATCTGCTCTGTTTCCAGCCTCTTCCTCCTGGCCACTCTCATCTACGTGGCCCTGCGTTGTCACAGTAAGATAAAGGAACCCATGGTTTATGGCCCTGGCATGGCCACCCTGGTCTGTGCCAGTGAAGTGGGCAGCTGGTCCTATTCCAATCGGCACAGCCACATCCTGGCAGGTGTGAGCGCAGAGGCTGGTGCCAAGAGTGATCTCATGATTTTCAGTCCCAACATTCCTGTCTTTGCAGATAATGGGGAACTTATCAATGGGGTGGATGTGCCCCCAGATTCTACTAAAAAGGTGAGTCCAACTCTTGGAGTCCCTGTCATCCACTCAGTATCTCATTTCTATGCTTATAATTTTGAATTAGTCTTGGGGCAAGATTAATTTGAATTGTTAGACACTGATGGTAAATAAATTGAATTTCAAATCATTAATACTTTTTTATGATGAAATATTTTTTGAATTTGAAAAACTAGGGAAAAGTGCAAAGAAAGTTTGTAGTTTGCAGTAAGTAAATTTGTCCTATAATGAAAGTAAACGTAAGTAGGCTCTTCCCCTGATATTATCATTTTGGCCTGCCAAGCTTTTCTTAATCTTTGTCTTGTTTACAGAAAGACATTAATGAATGATTTTTCTTTTGTTGATTGTTTTATTATTTGATGGATCAGTTCTCAGTGTGATATCTCTTTTGGGGACAATATTTATGTATGCTGCATAATTTGAAAACTTTTAAAACGTTATTAATCTGCTAGATATGCAGATCTTTATAACTTTTTTCATATATTGTTGGTACCTTTAGAAATAGAAAGTATAAGGTTGTTAACAATTAGATATAAGTAATATATTTGTAATACAGAATTTATAACTAATAACTGGATTGTCATATTCCTAAAATGATCAAATATTACTCTGTACTACAGCTCTGTGATCCTGGAATGGTATTGTCAGTTTAACAACGATTCGGTGAATTCTTTTATCTTGTTTCTGTTGCAACATCTGCAGTTTCACACTTTGTGAAGTTAGAAGGAATCAAATGATCTTCCTAAGCAAAAGTCCCTCCCAATTCTTACATTCTATAATTCAAATCTTTGAGAAGGGTGCCAACTTAGCATGTCTTTTAAAAGTGGGAAAGGATTATTTTATATGAAAACCCAGGTCTTTATGTTATGTAGCTGAATGAATAATCTGAGAGAATAGATGAAGTATGTGGGAATTGTTAGCCTTCAACAAAATAAGATTAGGGGATGTACAGTTTTGACATCCTGACGTTGGTCCGGGAGAGTCTTAGCAGTGTTTCCCAACCTTGTCAAGTTGTAGGTGTGTGGTCCTGAGCTTCTCAAAGTCTCAGCAAAGGGCAGCTGGCAGGGAATTCTGAGTCTGAAACCCTACATAGCCGACAATGATGGCACTCAAGGAATTCCTGTTGCATTCTGAGAAGCTCATAGATCTGCTTGGATTTTCCAAGAGCATGTCTTTATTTGTTTAATCAGACAATTTTCTCAGTATAGATGTGTTTTGCCAGTCATTTAATTTTGTGAAGTATTTTTATCTTCGCCATCTATTTTAGAAGCCTGGTCCCCCATATACATACTCATAGTTCAACTTTCTTGAGATCAGCCAAGGTCAGCTGGGTGTTGCATCAACTTACTGAAATTGTAGGAATGATATGAGCATCTTACATACTGATTTCACCAAGGCATTTGACAAAGTATACTGTAACTTTCTGATTAATAAACTTGTTAAATGTGAACTTGATACCTTACCAATTCAATGACTCTGTAGCTGACTTGAAATATGTATTCAAAGCAATATCATCAAAAGCTTACCAAACTGTAGATATGAACAGTCAAAATTTCATGGCTAACTAATTTTTGGCAGCAGATTCCAACTTTAGTGGCTAAATTGGTTTCTCTTTAGCCAAGGAGGGAGGAGGAGCGGGGGATGGGGAGGGAGGGAGGGAGAAAGAGAGAGAGCGAGTGAGCACATCTGAAATGAATATTTAAAACAGGAAAACAAGGACTTCAATAGTTAATCGTTGATTGTGTTGAGTAATATAATATTGACTACACTTTACATTATGTAAACAAATAAGATACATCCATGTGATGAATTCATTTTTTCCCCATTTAATTCTAAACATGACCTCAACTTTAACCCTAATGCCCCTGTTCTCTTTCAGTAGATAGGCCCCCGTGGCCTGCCCAAGGCTGTTCCAGACAGACAGAGCTTTGTTATTGAGGTGGTTTCAGAAAATGCTCTTCTGAAGCCTCTCTGGCCTCCAAAAACCACACCGTGCCCCATTCTCATGTGATTTTTGGAGGTTCCAGAGCAGAGGTGGGTTCCTACCAGTTCGCACCTATTTGGTAGAACCTGTTCGTCAAATCTACTGAACCGGTTAGAAGAGGTTCCACCAGTGGACCCGGAAAGCAGGCCACACCTATAGAAGAGGTTCCAAAATTTTTTGAAACCCACCACTGGTTCTTGGATATGATTACACTATCATGCTCATATTTATAAAACTCAGTTCCTCTGTGAAAGGTAAGGATGACTACTGCGTTTGTGGTGCAATCAAAACATTGCGTGTGTTGAAGTTGTTTTAACGCAAACCAAAGATGCCTTTTAAAAAACAAGTTTACATCATATTCTTATGCATGCCAATGCTGTGTGTGAGGTAATTTAAGGTGGTTCTGACAAGTGTCGTCAGTATCTTCATATCCGGTCACATGGGTGGCAAGCCACTCCCATCCGGTCACATGGGCGGCAAGCCACTCCCACAAAGGAGGGCACACCCACAGAATAGGTTCAAACAATTTTTGAAACCCACCACTGTTCCAGAGGCTGGGCCCCTACCTCTCACATGATTCCTGGAGGATCAAATGGTAATGGAAGAGCACACACCATTCTTATTCAACCTCTACAGTCTCCAAATTTGTGTGAGAATGGGGCATATTTTCAAGAATTGTTGTCGGAAGTTGGTGATTGCTGATGTGTCATCCAAAACATTGTGATGTATCATCCTTGACACATCTATCAGAGGTTTGCCATCACTTCTCTAATGTGACAATTATTCATGTTTATGCTCCCAAAACTGATGCAGAATATGAGGATGTTAATACATTTTATAGCCATGTTTAATAGAACTTGCAAGCAGAATGCGCTGCTTATAGGTACTGTGATGCCAAAGTTAGAAAAATTAAGGAAGAAAATAAGAGTTGGACTCTATGACCTAGAAAATTGAAATGAAGTAAGAGAACCGCATATCAATTTCTATCAGTCCAAAGATGGTGATAACACTTCCAAGAACAACAAACAACATTTAGGCTTATACACTGCTTCATAGCTTTACAACAGCCTCAGTTTACAAATGTCAGCATATTGCTCCCAACAATTTGGTTCCTCATTTCACTGAGCCTCTGTGAAGAGAAGTGTCCCAACAACAGCTGGGCCAGCAGGTAGGTTGGGTGGGGGCATGTAGAGAGCTTTGCCCATTGCAGCCATGGGCAAGCAGACAGTGGGATGGAGAGGGAAGGGCCAGTGGTAGCTGTGCTCCAACTCCTGTTTGCCCCCGTGCTCGCCTCCTCCACTTAAATAAATAAAACCTCTCCGAAAATAAGCCCAAAAGACACAGGGTCTTATTTTCAAGGAAACATGGTAACTCCAATGTATTTAACCTTTTTCCCCATCTTAAAACCTGATTCCCTTGACTCCATCAACTTTTAATAATCTTGAGAAGCCATATTCTTTACAGCATTTTTGTTTTATGTTTATTTATTTTGAAGCCCATTAAATGGCTCCAAAACCATTAAGCTTCTTCATCAAGTATCCTATGTAAGTTTTGGGATTTTGCAAAAATATAACTAAATGGTGTGGCCCGTTGGCTGCCAGAAGAGCTAACAGCAGAGCCAGAGTCAGATGAGGAGGAGGGGGAGGCAGAGCCTGGGCCAGCTTCAGAGCCTTTGGAAGTTCTGATGAGGAAGCAAAATCAGAGACAGATGTAGAGCCTGGTCCTTCTGTCTGCCCCCAGGTGGAGAGGCAGCTGTCTTTGGGGCCTGAGCTGAGTGAAGGGGAGGAACAGATGGGGTCCATCCCAGATGAGCATATGCCTAGAGAGTAGAGCAATGGAGGGCAATAAGCCAGCTCTCAGGGAAAAGAAGTTGTAGATGCTAGCCAGCTCCTCCCTGGCTGGGAAATAAATAGTAGGGTTTTGGGAGTGGTCTGTTGTCTCAGACAACCATTCGTTTTCCAGTGTACATCAATCAAGTTGGATTCCTTTGCCAGAACCAGGTTTGCTCTGTATTTGAGATGCCAACTGAGTCTCCCTGCTGAGAAATAATAGGTAGTGAATTTCCCTCACCTGGGGTGAACAGGGACTTTTTCTGCTTGGCTTAATCATTGAAGGACTTTTTATCTCGCGTTCTCATGTGAACAGAGACTGTTTGTGCCCTTTTCAGAAGGGGAAAAGACTCATTTGTGACTAATTATTTTTGGTTTTGTCTATCCAATGTGAATAAAGAATGTTCTTGCCCTGTGTTTAAAAAGGGGGTTGTTTTACTCATGAGTAAATGCTTTATGATTGTTTGCTAAGGCTGAGCCAGAACAGTGTCATCAGTGAAAACTCTTCATTTATAAACTTCTTTTCTGATTTTTATGCCAATTATGCATTTATCCCCTCATACACCATTATTCAAAATGTCCAACACTTAACATAAATAACAACGGAGATAGAGGACATCCTTGTCTCATATTCTTTTGAATATCATATGTTGTAGTTAAATCTCCATTAATTATAACATTTGCTTGCTATGATGATTATATTGCCTTAACCCCTTGAATACGTTTCTCCCCAAAATCCATATCTTCCAAAACTTTAAACATAAAGTCCCAATTAAGTTATCAAAAGCTTTCTCTGCATCCAAAAATATTAGAGCTGCTTGCTTTTCATTATTAAATTGTAAACATTCAATAACATTCAAAACAGTACTCACTCACTCATTGTCTCTCAATTGTCTTTATGGTAAAAAGTCACATTGTCCTTTGTGAATGTAAGACTAGAAATTTCTTCAATCCTGCTGCTAGTATTGCAATAAAACGTTTAAAATTCTTGTTTTAATATTGAAATTGGTGTATAATTTTTTATCCTCAGAACATCTTGACTCTCCTTTGGTAATAACACAATATTAACTTCTTTCCAAGTTTGAGGCATCTTTATATCATGTAGTACACAATTCATTAAACCCTTTAGTGGCTGTAGGAGTTGCTCCTCAAAATATTTATTATACTGGCTTTTGAGATCAACTGGACCTGGAGCTTTACCTATTTTCATTTTTAATAGCTTCATTACATTTCAAAGGTAGTTACTAGAATCACACTGATTCTTCTTGAACTCTCACTACATTTTGCTAGCATCAACCATAGCATCCTTCTGGCCTGCCTGAAGGGATTGGAGCTGGGAGGTACAAGTTGCAAGGGTCTCCTCCTTTTCCTGTAGTTGGGTTCAGTTGGTGTGGACATGAGAGGTGAAATTGAATATGAAGCCCTTGGTAGATTGGGTACCTCAGAACTCTACTGTATACTCTTTTTCCCTCTGGTTTAACATCTAATGAAGGCACTGGGTGAGGTCCTCTGCTGA